CCCCGCCCCGCCCCCTTCCCCAGACCCTCAGCTGCTCCCGAGAGGCGCCTTTCGCTCCCACGCCCGGCGCGCAGGCCGGACCCTGCCCGCGGCCGCGCTCCCCGCGCTCGCCTCGGTGGGGCGGGACTTGGACGGCACGTAGGGCTCGCGTGTGCGGGCTCCGCGCCACCAGGGCCTGTCACCGCGCTGCCGGCGAGGTCCTCGCCTCGGCCCCCCCCACCCCCCCGCGGCACGTCGGGGAGAGGGTCCGCGAGGTTTTGTAGGTGGTTCTTAACCCTTCGCGTTTGGGGAAGTTTCTTTTTCTTAAGTGTTTGTGTGTCTGCAGATAGGTCGGTTAGCTGCATAGCTGGGGACGTTTGTCACTAAATTAATAAAATGGAGCATTTTAAGCCTTTGCTCGCTTTTTAGTGGATAGTAGGCGACCAACTTTTCCTGTGAAGAGAAAGATTCTAGAAAGCCAGAGAAAATAGGGCAAAAGGGACTTATCTGCGTGTTTCAGTTTTCTCTTTTTTTATTTTATAACTGTGGAAAGCTGTTTCTTTCACGTCAGTGTCCTGTTACATTATTCACATGTTATCTAGTTAAATTGCCAGCATAATGAACAGACTTGAGAGTGACTTGCCGTGGCTAGTAATCTAGTACTTGTGATGATTACACTTAGTTTTAAGTTTAAGTTGCAGAATCCCCCCCCCCCGACCCCCGTTACGGTAAGGCTGTTTCATCAGTTGTCAGGATGGAGCCTCAAAGTGCGATGACCCTTGAGTATTGAAGGACTGTAACGATTGAGATGAACAGGTGAAGTAGAACGTGAAAAGGCTGGAGGTTCTATAGTGAAAGCCTCTGACGAGGTAACTAACGTTGTTGGATGGATCTAGGACTCAACTGAGCAAAGGGATCCGAGTTGCTGCCACAATTTAATAGCAAGTGTTAAGGGGCGCTGCTGTTCTGGATTTCATAGTGCCTTGTGGAGGTCTGAGGAGTTTGAGTTTAAATTAAATGAAACCTGTCTACTTACTTACTTAACGGTTATCAGAATACCTTCTGTAGATTTGGTAGCATGCACACTGATCGTGTTGGAACCAAAAGTCATGTCTTTTCATTAACATGCAGAATTAAGAGAGGGGTGAACTGGTTATTGTTGAGTTTTGCTGAATTCATGATCCCATCTGAAATTAGATATTGATAGAAAGATACGTTAATTGTAAAACTAAATTTACTTTTTCTCATGGTGAGGACATGTTGGTTTTATAGAAATTTAGAAAACCAGGGTGTTTTATATATTCTGTATTTGATCTTACCAAATTGCTCGCTTACTTCTTCAAGAAAATTTGGTAATGGAGGCTTTACTTGATGAAGTGATGTGTATCACGTCAGCCAGTCAGGGGCGGAGGTCTGAGGGGCCTGACTAATGGGAGTTAATTTACAATTAAGCCAGCATTTAAAAGTCATTACTTCCCCTGTGCAAGTGGCTGCTTACAGAGTTGCACAGTTTGGGGTTATTTTAATGCCCATTTCTTTGCTGAGTTAGTTGCCCGGTGCATTACAGAGTACTCTGTGCCTAAAGGTAGTTATAAATATTTGATGGCAATAACATAGTAAGGCCTGTTTCCTCAGACATGTTTTGTGGTGAACTCTCCTATCCCTCTTCCTTGTCCTTGTGGTTTGGAACTATTAGCAAAGAGAAGCTAAATAGTGTGTGATTAACTGTGCACACCCCAAGTTCAAATTCTGAATATAGTGGAATCTTAGGAACTGAAATAAGGAGATAATTGATAATAGGTGAAGAAATCAAAGCAGGTTAATTGTTAAGCTGAATTTCTCAGTGTGTGTGTGGACTGCAGTAGGCAATATATCAGTGCTTTCACAGACTCAGTCTCATCTGATCCCAGGAAGAAGAGTTTGAACACCACGGTGGTTTCACCAGAACAGTCCTTTGGATGGGAATGAGCTGCGAGGTGACCTTTTTGCCTAAGTCTAAGCTTAGTTACCTGAAGTTCTTATTAAAAAAATTGTGCACAGGGTATTCTCAGGGCTCTAGTTACTTCTTAGTACCTCTGGCTAAAAAAAACTTAGTGGGAGCTAGCATGTTTGTGGAAACCAAATCTTTGGATTTTATGGGTTTCTTTTGCTTGTGTGCCGTCTTGTTCTAATTGCCCCCAGAGTCACAGCAGTCTGTGTGATTGGCATCTCTTTGATGGAATAACGGCAAAGGAAATCTAGTGGTTCTATACTAGAGTAGCTTTAGACCTGGAGTGGTCCTTGGAGATCTGCTTTTTTCTTTCCCCTTTTTTAACTGATGTAATTCACATGGGCGCAGTTCAGTGGCTTCTGCTGTATTCACCAGGTTGTGTGGCCATCACCGCTAGCTAATTCCGCAACATTTTCATCATCTCAAAAAGAAACCCCATACCCGTGAGCAGACACTACCCATTTCCCCTCTCCCTCCAGCCCCTGACCACCACTGATCTACTTTGTGTTTCTCTAGATTTGCCCATTCCAGCCATTTCATTTAAATGGAATCGTAACAGTCTGTGGTCTTGTGTGTCTGGCTTAGCCTGTGTTCAAGGTTCATCCACATTGTTGAGTGTACTTTATTCCTTTTTAAGGCTGAGTAAGATTCCGTAGCGTGGGTACTAGAGCAAGACCTGCTTGTTTTTGCACATGAGAAGATGAAGGCTCAGTGAGGCTGAGCGTGTTGCGGTATTTCATCACACTTCAGTTGTGTCTTTAACATGCGTAATCCACTGTTTTAAGGCCCCGGTTTATTTTTGGTTTTTTTCCTGGCATGTGATTAATGAACATTTCCATGTTGCCAGATGTAGGGCACAGTCTCATATGTATATTTTTCCCTAGATTGTCATCAGTATTGTATAGGAGTGACATCCTATTTTATAGAGCTTACTATAAACCACTTAGTCATGGCGAAGTAGGGAAGCTCATGATAAAAGCTGAGTATTTAAAACATTTAGGGCTTTTTAAAAACTTTATTTATTTATTCATTTGAGGGGGGAAGAGTTCCCCCACCTGTGGCCGAGCGGGGGGGGGGGGAGTAGAGGGAGAGGGAGAGACTCTCAAGCAGACTCCCCTCTGAGCAAGGAGGGCTTGATCTGTGGCTTGATCTCACAACCCTGAGATCATGACCTGAGCTGAAATCAAGAGTCAAATGGATGCTTAACTGACCCAGGTGCCCCTAAAACATTTAGTTTTGAGAGAAACCTAAGAAAACTTTAAAATCTTGAGGTTTCAGGTATTTAGAAATTGTGACCTTCACTCAAGGCTGTTGGTATTTTACTTATCTTTTGTTAGACCAAATATAGAAGTGCTTTATGATGGATTGAGCAAAACATCTAAGACCAGAAAACCGTTGATACTAAGATCAGTAAAGTGAAAGAAGGTTGAAAAGTATTTGTTTCTCAGTTCTTTATATACAGAAAGTTCAAGTGTGCTAAAAGTTACTAGTCCTGACCATTTGCCACTCCTCTGTGGGTTTTCCACCTCCTCCTCCTTTACCTGTTTGTCCTTAACTAGAGATGCCATGCACAGAAATTCCCACGGAGCCAAGCCACAGACGCACCCCCTTCCCCAAAGTGATCTTGTCAAGCCTGTGACCTACATGGGGCACTCTAAGTCATAGATTCTGATTCCTGACCCAGTAGTTCTGGAAGTCGGCTTGCTGATACAGCCTCTGTGCTGTCAGACTCTCTGCTCCAGGTTGTTCACCTCTCCTCTTCCTCCCACCGGCAACAGCTGACTCCCCCTAGTGGGAAAGGAAAAATCCCTATTAGGAATAGGTCAGGACTCGTGACCTTACTACAACTAGCATTTTAGGCTTTGAAAGAGAAGAAATAAAATAATAACTTTAAAAATGTATGCTAGACTCCTGGATGTTTATTTACCAAAGGCTTCCTGGTTTTTTTGTTGTTGTTGTTGAAGTCAGCTTAGTAAGGTGGGTTTTTTTTTTTTTTTTTTAAAGATTTTATTTATTTATTTGAGAGAGAGAGAGCATG